CAACATTATAATTTATTACAATAACTTCTGGGACAATTTACTGTTCAGCAGAATTTATCATGACAATTCTAAGCATGTGCTGTACAATGGCTGCTGGAGAGACAAGTGGGTTATTTACCAGTAACAAACAAGTTGCTGCATTCTTGTTGGTTGTGCAGGAGGCTCAACTGATGCTTTTCAAAGATGTATGGTTGTATAATTGAGCTTTTTTTTTTTCCAGCCATTTCCATATTTTAGTGTAAGCATTATGTTGGGGAGTCTGGCCATTAACAGCATATTTAGATTTAAAGGGAAGAGATGCCCTTAAACAGATCTGACCAGACTAAAATTTCATTTTCTAGGAATGGTTTCATGCAAAATGTGTAATAAACATGTTTAGTATAGCCAACCTGTACAAGAAAACAAAATAGGTGACCTTTAAGTGCATCACCAACCCTCCGTCTCTCCTCCTGCAGCACCCCAGTGGACACTTCAGATCGCTCCATGATGTTGAAGATCGTTCACTCGGCCATCAACACCAAAGCTCTGAGCCGCTGGTCAGAACTGGCCTGCAGCATCGCGCTAGACGCCGTTCGGACCGTCGAGCTGGAGGAGAATGGACGCAAAGAGATTGACATCAAGAAGTACGCCAAGGTGGAGAAGGTGAGACAGCCAGGATTCACTCAGCCTGAGAAAACACCAGGAGTTTCAGAGGTCTAGAAAATTCAATCCAATTCAAAAATGCTTCATTAGACATTAAACTGCAACTAAAATATTCTGTAACTGATCACGAGAGGAGCATTTTCAGGATGACCGCAGTTTGTTTTTAAGCTTCTTTAAAGCTACATCTTGTTCTAATTCCTGTGGTGCGTTCAGGTTCCAGGTGGGATCATCGAGGACTCCTGTGTGCTGAAAGGCGTGATGATTAACAAAGACGTGACTCACTCCAGGATGAGACGGATGATCAAAAACCCTCGCATCATCCTGCTCGACTGTTCTCTGGAGTACAAGAAGGGCGAGAGCCAGGTAAACATTTATAACCAGGGATTTTAATCAACTCCCCCACTCATTCTTTTCTGAATAGATAAATAAACAAATAAATAAAAAATAATAAAAATGACAAGCTATGAGATGTTTTGTTTAATTACAAGAATATAGTTGTGATATTAGCATAGAAAAAGATCCAATCCTACCAGAACAATCTCTTATTACAAAAAAAAGTAGTTTTAATGTGAAGAAAGCTTAACTAGATCATTTTTTGTTCATCATTCTCATACTACAACTAAAGAAATGCGCAGTTTTGAACCCGTCCAGGTTCTGTTCATCTTTGATGGCCTGGATGAGAGTCGACTCCATATGACGTTACATATTCAAGTATTACTTGAAACTATGTGTTTGCAAAATTATGGCACTAAACAAAAGTAACCTGGCTTTCCCTTCGATTTGATGTAGAGTGTATTAGCAAAAAAAGTCCATGTTTTCCAAAGGCAAATGGAGAAAATCGGCCTACAAAATGCAAATTATTGTGCAGCTTTTTTTATGCTATCTTGTTTTAGTTTCACACCCTAAAAAAAAACTCCAATCCGATCTGAAGCATTTCGAAACTGTTCTTTTCTGAACTCATTTATGTGAAAATAATTTCATATGGTTTCCTGCAGACTGACATCGAGATCACCAAGGAGGAAGACTTTGCCAGGATCCTAAAGATGGAGGAAGAGTACATTCAGCAGATCTGTGAGGACATCATCCGTCTCAAACCAGATCTGGTCTTCACTGAGAAAGGCATCTCAGGTACTGCAGCCCATCACACCTGAACATGTGGCTTCGTTTTTGCTCCTCTGGTGTCTCAACGTTTTTTTTTTTCTGTCTCTCAGATCTGGCTCAGCACTACCTGGTGAAGGCGAACATCACCGCCATCCGGCGTGTGAGGAAGACTGACAACAACCGCATTGCCAGGTACGCTGCGGTGTGCTTTCAGCTTTTCCACAGCATCTGAAGTCAATAAGACGATCATAGCTCCTGGATGGAAAGCAGTTAAAGATGAAATTAAAACTTTCAGAAGGAAGTGGACATAATGATGCAAAATTTCTTTTTTATGCTTCTATTTGGGGCTCATCTAAAAGTAGACCAGGCATCTAAAAAAAAAAAAAAAAAAAAACACCATGCAGGTGGTATTTGGTAATGGATTCATGTTTTTTGGTGGTTGGAAAACAAGCCGTTTCAAAAACCTTCGAAATGTTAAGTTGCATTCAGTGTTAAGTTGCTAGGTAACACTGAGTGCTGCAGTGTTACCTAGCAACCTGAGCTGAGCTCTGGCGCTTTTTTCCAGCTGTTTTTACTGCTGGAAAAAGACAAATGTTTTTCTGGCAACTTAAAGCTCGGACACCACTTGCTGCATTTTGTGCAGCAGGCTCCACTGATGCTTTTCAAAGTAATACGTTTGTAATACATTTGTATAATTTTATATTTGTTTGTAGCCATTTTCACACATGATTGTAAATGTTAAATAGGGAGGTGGCCAGATGTCATGAACATGTTTTGTGTTGCCCATAGACTTTTTCCCAACCTGTTTAAGGAACAATGATAGATCACTTTGAAATGTTTTCTTCTCAGGGCATGTGGCGCTCACATCGTCAGCCGGACAGACGAACTGCGTGAGCAAGACATCGGCGTCAAGGCAGGGCTGTTCGAGGTGAAGAAGATCGGGGATGAGTATTTCACCTTCATCACAGAGTGCAAAGACCCGAAGGCCTGCACCATCCTGCTGAGAGGAGCTAGCAAGGAAATCCTGGCGGTGAGAGCGCCCCCCTCCTGTTATTATCAGCCTGGCAGTCTGGTTCGGGTTGTAAATGTGTCTGCGGTCTGCAGGAGGTGGAGAGGAACCTGCAGGACGCCATGCAGGTGTGCCGCAATGTGCTGCTCGACCCGTTCCTGCTGCCAGGAGGCGGCGCTGTGGAGATGGCTGTGTCAAAGCGCCTGACTGAGCGTTCCCGCGCTCTGACCGGTGTGGAGCAGTGGCCATACCGCGCCGTGGCCCAGGCGCTGGAGGTCATCCCCCGAACCCTGATCCAGAACTGTGGAGCGTCCACCATCAGAGTGCTGACATCGCTGAGGGTAAAAGTCCAAATAAATGGCCTGAGAATGGGAGCTGAGAAAATCAATTATTGAGACAATTAATCAAAGTTGAAAAATTGCCATATTCTGCAGAAAAAAAAACAACCTTTGACCTATATTCTGGAACATATAGTTGCTTGCCTGCTTTTTAAATCTGTGGAGCTCAGCAGGTTAAAAGTCGTCGTGTCTTTTCAGGCCAAACACACCCAGGAGAACAGTGTGAGTTGGGGCGTCGACGGAGAAACTGGCTGCCTGTCTGACATGTCTGTTCTCGGCATCTGGGAGCCACTGGCTGTGAAGGCCCAGACCTACAAGACCGCGGTGGAGGTCAGAACCGCGGCCCGATCAGAACCAGCACCGCCGCTGGTGTTCATTACTCTGAACACTTACCATTCTCTCCTGTGATAAACAGACAGCCATTTTGTTGCTGCGCATCGACGACATCGTCTCTGGTCATAAGAAGAAGGACAAAGACGAGCAGATGGGAGGACAGGGCGCCGAGTAGGTCCAGTTGGATCCATGTTGACCCAAAACATCGGAGTCACTTCAGTTGTGTGTGTGTGAGTGGATGTGTGCGTTTAAACTCTGTATGTATGCATGTGTGGGGACCAGATGACTCGCTGAAACTTAATAAAAACAAATTTTGGAAACCTGACGCCTGCCTGCTGGTTTTGTTTATGTACGACAGGGCAGCTCAAGTCCAGTCCTCAAGAGCTGCCATCCTGCAACTTTCAGATGCTTCCCTGCTCCAGCACACCTGAATCAAATGAATGGCTCGTTAGCAGGTCTGTTGAGAGCTGATCCCGGTCTGTTGGAGTCAGGATGAATCAGAAGTCAAGCTACTAATGCTGTCTGAACAAGCGCACCGCTCTGAATCAAACAACCAATTAGAACCAAGAGGAGAGTCTGGGTGCTGTCAATCATTCTCATGAATAAGCTGCTAAATGAGCTTCACAACAGGCTCTGGTAGCTGCAGGAGAGGATAGGACTGCCACTTTATGGATGATTCTCCTGGTTCTAATTAGTTATTTCTAGTTAGCGCAGAGAACTCCTAAGCTAGATTTTTTTTTTTCCAAATTATTATACCATATTTTCACAACAAGTGATTAATTTATTTTTCATTTCAACAAATAAGTGATTTTTTTTTTTTTATAAGAGTTACTGCATCTTTGAGGACTTTGTCATTTGTCTGAATTCACCAAAGATTTAAGTTTGAAATGAATGAATGAATGAAATAAATATGAAAATAATTTCCACCTGTTGTCTATTCCATTTGCACAACAGCAGGTGATATTGATTGTCAATCAGTGTTGCTTTCTAAGTCGACAGTTTTAATTTCACAGAAGTTTGATTTACTTGGAGTTATATTGTGTTGTTTGAGTTGTTTAGACTTAAAATAAATTTGACACTTTTTTTCATAAGAAATTAATATGATTTAAATGAACTGTGAGCTTTGAATGCCATTTAATTTTATATTTTAACTAGAAACATAATTTGACTTTAAAACGGTCCAAACACATTTGCTTTCTAAACCATATATTTATTTATTTATTCAGCCTGCTCTTCAAATTGTGGTAGTTTCAGCTAGATATCTCCTGTCATGCTATTACCAGATTATGCCAATTTGTTTGTTTCTTTGAAAAAAAAGTGATTTGAAAGATAAATTTTACATATTTAAAAAATTATGAAACATGAGTTATCTTACTATCTGCCGCTGTGTTAAACTAGCTAATAGCAGCAGAAGGAAAAAGAAAAAGATCACAACGAAGCTTTTAAATTAAATATTTCTTGTTAGGATTTTATTTCCCCGCAGTAGATGACGTAATGATGTATTGGGCGGGGCTTCTAGTAGTCAGCTGACGTGACAGCTGACGGTCATGTGACTCACGGCACAACGGTCACAACAAAGATGGCGGCTACAGGGACCGGCCGAGTTTTTGTGATTTTAGTCGTTTTTGTTTTTAGTTCGTGTGAAAGTTTCTTCATCGGAGGAGATTCTTACAAAAGAGAGGTAAGGAAATAATTAAAAGCCGAATATGTTTTAAATTAATTGCCTTGAATTAAGTTCAGAAAATGAACAAACAGGAAGTGAAAGTATTGATTAAACTGAAAAATCGACTGAAATCCCTCACTCTTCTTTAGTGGGATCCTTTAAAATCTGCTTGATAATTGTTTAGTTTTCTTTAATTTACTTTAGATGCTATTAGTTTGGGGAAAGCACACTACAAGTTGAATCAATTAACTGATTTAATCCAATTAAAAACAACTCTTGGGACCTCAGAGACGAGATGATTGCATTGACTTTAACATTAGATAACATGCTGTAATCTACAAACTGTTAATGACATTATCAGCGTTGCTGTTTGAACATAGCTGATTGGTTCTTTTCTTCTGTGCTTCAGCTGACCGTGAAGTTGTACCCGAACTCGACGCCCTCTGGCGGTGAGCTCCTTCACGTGACAGCTGTGGGCGGAAACGACACGCTGCACTACCTGTTCTGCAGCCAGGGGGCGCCAGCATTGCTGATCGTGCACACCAACTCTTCTTCATCTACTGTCAAGGTTTGGGCAAGATTCATCTGCACTGAACAGCTTAAAAAAAAACAATTATTATACATCATTTAGCTATTCAGCTTATTTGGTCACTGTATAAAATGTTAGATTGTTCTTCAAGTACTTAGTTTATTTTTATCACTGTACCAAGCTTAGTAAAGTTAACATGTTTCACCTTTTGACATAAGTCCAACACATCCTCATTACAGTGGCATTAAAGTGAGTAAGCATGTTAATAAATATTTAATATTGCAAATGTTTTGCTAACTAAAACAATATGAGGTGTGTCTTGTTTACGCTTGTCGTAAATCAATGTCAAGCCAGAATAAGTAATATCTTTCATTTATTTATTTTTTTTTACCTCTGAGGTATCTAAATGTGTCTAAATGATTATTTTTCAGGTGAACTGGCCTGAGTTTTTGGCTCGTAATACCAGCGGCAGCCTGAAAGTGGAGCCGCAGAGCAGCATCCTGTACAGCAACGCCATTGTCTTTAGCCGGGTCAGAACCAATCTTTACTCTTGTGGAATAATCCCGACTGCGTGTTTACTGGAAAACTCTTTTGTTTCTTCTCTCAGCTGTTGGAGTACGATGATGAAAACAATACGGCCGAGGCGAAATCCAACTTCTTCCCCGCCTACGAGCTGAAGGACTTCATCTGGACTCAGATGAACCTGTCCGATTCCACGGCGACACTGTGCGGGTCTCCCCCAGGGTCCAGCAAAGGGTCGCTCTGCCTGCAGGTGACGACCCAAGACATTCACTCCAATGAGCAACAAAACTATAGTTATTATTATTATTGTTGTTGAATTATTTCTCTAGATGGTTAAGGAAAAGTTAAAGAGCTTTTATAACGTTGTACCAAAGTCATAAAAATGACATATTGTAATAAATAGCTTTTAAATTTGAATATCTCAAATTTAACTTATTATCAAATTTGGCTTAATTTCTAAATATAAATGAGTTTTGATTCCGATCCTTGTACTATGAAATATTGTCTCATAACTATGGCTTAAATACTTTATATTATGAAATACAGATGCTTAATTTAATTATGTGAAGTGAAATTGACTTAGAATGATTCCATATTTTTTACAAAAAATTTTTTATAATTGTATATTGGTGCACAAATAATATTGAACTCTTATTATTGTTGACGTAATAATACTTATGACGTAATTCTGGTACATTAAAATTAATCTGACTTTCATGTAGCTGTTTATTATCCCTCTTGTCTTTCCTATAATGTTACTAAAGTATCTTACATATATCAGTGTCACGACTCAAAATTGACTGATATTCATAAGATGGAGGCAGTATTTTTATTATTAAGTGCCAGAGATGGGTTTTCATGTTGCCGTAAATTTCCTAACCTTTTTGTTTTCCAGTTGTCTGTGTTTGGCTCAGAGGGGCGTGTTGACCTTTGGCCCCGCCTCCTCCATTCTGCTAACTCCTCCCAGTTGGAGGTGTGGCTTAACGGCCTGCCGCCCCGCTCCAATAGGTCCAGGTTCATGTTGGAGCTGCAGGCGGTGGGCGGGGCTTATCCATTAAGCAGAGTGGACGTTCACCGGTTCATCGACGACGAATACACACCTTCAATATTCCAGGTCACCAGACTATTTATTTTAAAGTTCTTTGTTTTGTTCATATTATTTGATTTTATATGTATTTTTACCATTTTATTCAGCGTTAATGTGAATTTTTTTAATACTTAGTCAATTTAGAAAAGATTGTCTGCTTTAACTATAACTCTTATGTTGTGATGTTTTATTTTTTGTATTATTTACATTATTTCTTTTTCTTTTCATCAACTTATTCTATGATCATGTTTGAATAGCACTTTGGTGCAGTTTTAAACCTGTTTTTAAAGTGCTACATAAATACATTTGACATGAATCAAACTCTAGTTCTTTAATAGAGAAAGTTTGATTCGTTTGGGGAATGTGAATGCCTAATCAAACTCTAACTAGAGAAGCAAACTGGAACTCTTGGTTTCTATTTGGTTGAAGTGAATTGTGGTGCAGTTCAAATGCATATGTGAAAGAAGGAAGTGGACTCGACCGCACAGCATTCTGGGTAAATTCAATCAGTCAAAATAGAAGTTTTACAACTGCTCAAATCTGATGCTCCTCCATTTTTCTTTACATTTTGTGAAGAAGGAAGTTGTACTCGTGTTCTTCCAAGATTTTCTCATAGTTTCTTTCAGTAGTTCTTGGTGCAGCGCCACCACAGGTGAGGAGGTGAACTGTTTTTTGTTTTGTTTTTTTCAAAGGGTTTGGTTGGTTTGACACAGTGCAAACCAACCACTGTGTGACCAATTTTGGTCACCAGTTGTACAGTGTTAACCGGACTATGGGGTGGAAACTATGGGAACCTCATAGTCTGCAGATCCACTTTTGGGCTGAGTTGTTGTTGTGTGGCAGAAAAGCACAAAACTGTCAGTCAAAACTGCCAACCCTGTTGTTAGCATTGCTGCATTTCTTTAAATGTTTTAGCATTTTAAGATTTTCTGCACGAAAAAGAAAGTGGTCAAGTGAATTTTCCGTTAATTATTTGGAGTCACATTCCACAGAAAACTCGGTGAATACTGAACCGTTGATTCTGGTGTAAACTGCTCTGCTGTTCTTTAACCGGGTGAAGTTCCTCTCCTTCAGGTGTCTCTGTGGGTGTCTTCACCGAACAACGGCTCGGACGTCCTGGGTTTCGTCCAGTGGAAGCCAGTGGCGTACCGGACGTCCCATCCGAGCCTGGAGGACGCAACGCCGTGCCGTAACTCCAAGCCACAGCAGCAGAGCGGGAACTCGACGTCAGCTTCATCGGCTCTGATTAAAGCTTTTTACTCCGACCCAGCAGCCATGGGGATGAACGTTAGCTTCGGCATCGCTGGAGAGCCTTACTACAACAGCACCATGTTCCTCAGCTGGTTAGTTCATCTATTTGTTTTTTATTTAGTCTCTGATCTGTCTGCCGTTAAATCGATGTTTTCCATCCCTCCCAGGACGATTCTGGTGGGAATCGGCTCCCCTCCGATTGACTCGTTCTCACCGCTGGTGATCGGCATCTTAACGGCTGGTCTGGGGATTCCCATCGTCCTCCTGCTGGTGGGCGGAGCTTTCGTCTTAATCGCAAAGAAGCGGGAATCCTCAAGAACGGGCTACGAGCCAATCAACTGACAGCATAGTCCCAGCCAATGGGATGTTCAGACTTTTTTTTACCCTTCGGATGACATCACTGATGATTCAGCCAATCGAGAAACAGTTAGTCCAATATTTCAGCGACAACTCAGAGCAGTTTCAGTCAGTAACTAAAATTGGCAGCATGCAGAAAATTCATTTAATTAGAAACATTGAGCATGAGTAAGATTCAAAAACTTTTATTCTATATAAAGAAAATTACTTTTATTATTTTTTAGACAAATGTATAGCTATTTCACACAATGTTGAGATTTTAAAGCAAAGTAATTACTTTGTATCTCAGGTTTGACCTCAAACTAGAAACTACTGCTTACCCAACATATTTATTTTATTACATACATTGCATACATTTATTTGGTTTGTTATAAACCTGGAGGAAACGTTGCTTACGCCCCAAAAACATAAAAATATTACCAAGTATTTTTAGTGTAATATCTGACTACATTTGAAGTAAGACAAAACTAACTTGCAAGTAACTTTTTTAGCAAAACATAGGAGTTTGTTTTAATGGAATAATTCCTTAATTTTGATAAAAATGTTGCAGTTGCAAGGAATTTTTGACTTAAAACAAGCTTCTATATCTGGGTAAAAAGTTACTTGTAAGTTAGTTTTGTCTTATTTCAAGTGTACAAATAATATTTGCAACTAGACCTAAAATACTTGGTAACATTTTGTTGCCAGTGCATTTCAGTTGAGATAAATGTACCTAAATTGTTGTTGGTTTGAGCCTGAACATCACATATTCTGACCTGAATTGCTTCAACCAATCAGGGCTCACCATAAGATCACAAGGAATTTATTTAGGACATGAACAGAAGCCTCATTGTGAGCTTTTCAGGGTATTATGTTTTTTAAAAAATATTTTATGTTATTTTTGTATTTTGCAGATTTAATGTTAAATTCAACATGCTTCAAAAAGTTTTGCTACAATAAAAGGTGGAACGTGTTATTTCAGTGTTTTGAAGCGTTATTAACCGTATACTGAAGCAGTCTGAGTTTTGATCAATCATTTTTTTATTTTTAGATTTTGGGTAACATGCATGATTTATACAAAGTTTGGATTTTATACAAAGTTTGGATTTTGCTTTTGAGACTTTCCAGGTCTGGATAATTGTGGAAAAAGAAAAGTGAGGAAGGAAAATGCTTGATTTTTAAAATAACGTTTCCGTTAATTAAAGGACTTAAATTTTAATCTTTGACAAATGTAGTAGTTTTCACCACATAAATCTGTAATGTTTAACAATTCTACCCAACAGTGTTAAGTTTTAGTGTTTCAACTAAGTGGGCACTCATACCTTGAAGCTGCTTTTTTAAAGGATGTTTACTAAAATAAAAGGTTATGATTTCACTGACTGCTTCAGAGAATCTCCAGTCTAAGATTCCCAAATGGTGTCCAAGGCTTCCAGATGTTGTGAAAAAGTTGATAAAATTCCACAAAATACTGAGATTGACCTTAATTGTATAGTATTTATTGAAATAATAAAGCAACAGACTTTTTGAACTAAATCAAATCACGGTTTTATGTTTCTCTTCGGTTTTTTTGTCAGAATATTCGCATAGAAACAAAAAAACATCCAACATAAACCTATTATTTACAATAAAACATCAATGAGGCTGAAACACTTTGATAAAGGAACATAAAATTAAAGTAGTGTGAAGCAGCAACCAATCAGAGCTCAGCTAGAGGAAATGTGAACCAATCAGGTGACGAATGGGCAGATATGGATGATGAAGTCAAGTTCTGACCAATTTCAAACTTTCAGTTCTTTCCAGCACATCATGGATGTCAAAATAGACATTTTCAGACTTCACAGTAGTTATGAAACTATAAAACACTAAAATGTTCAGCTAAGATTACTGTGAGCTGAAAAAAATGACAGAAACAGGAAGGAAACAATAGTTTGCAGAATACACACTTTTTTAAAAATAATCTCGTTTCAGTCATGAGTTACTCTAAAGTTGATAAGCATAATATCTCTTTAAAAGTTTTCCGTTGTATCAAGAAAAACCCGTCTTTCTAAGGGAAATCTTTGTACCACATTCCAAATTTAAAATAAGATATTTTAACATTTTCTTGGTCAGTTGTATTAAAGTTTATATTTATGAACTGAACTGCAAAAACTGCAGTTTGTTTCCCACAATTGACTCCATTTGGACCGTTTTTATTTCCTGTTATACCGTCGCCATTTATTTTAACTTTTGGATCAACAACTTCTCCGAAATCACAACACTGAAAAAAAGCAGACGTTATTAATTGATTGGAACTAATTTTAATATAATGAACCATTAATTGACAATTAATTGTTTATTTATCCAGAGATCAAAAATACTTTCATCCAATTTCTGCACAGGAACCAAAATACAGCCACATCAACCAAAACACGGATGTGAAAACAGTTTTTAATGGCAAACTGAAACAGAACTGCATCTTTAAATATCAGATTTGAATTTTATTTTGCATTTCTGCAGGAAAATGTTTAATCTTGAAAGAAAAAGCCCATTTTTCCACACTTCAGAAACAGCTGCTTCCAATTGTCACTTCCAGAGTCCATATAAGGAAGTTCCTGACTGTGACATCACCGCGATGCAGGAAGAGACGTTTCAGCTTCAGATCCCAAGGTTTGTCAGTTTCACTTCTGTTTTCATCCAGATCAAACGTCTCCTTCCCTGATTTCTCTATAAACTCTGTTCACTAAAATATAATCTACAGTTTCCATCGCGAGTCAAGACTCATCGTCCCGGTTTTAGTGTTTGTTCTGCTGTTTCACAGACTGGGAGCTGAGCTCAGCCAGCTCCATGGAGGACGTCCAACAGGTCCGGTCCAAACCTGGATCCGTTTAAAAAAATACTGCCAAAGGATTTAAAAACCCAGCAGGACCCTCTTCTCCTAGATGGACTCGATCTGTCGGCGGACCTTCTCAGAGGCGAGGCGATCCAGCCAGCGCTGGCGGATGACCACCAGGATGGCGAAGACGACAGTCAGAGCCAACATGGCCGCTTCAAACTTCCAGAAGAGATGCTCCTCCATCAGGGCGGAGCGACAGCTGGGAGGAGGCAGAGGAGAACGGTTAGTGTCTGTTTACACTACAACAGCATTTGATCTGGATCCGCTTCAGATCAATTTATGGCAGACATTTAAATAGAAGGAATTAACACAGAATGGAAGAAGAACACAAGAGAGGGACAGAGGAAGGAAAGAACAAGGAATTAAGAATGGAAACAAGAGAGGAAAGAGGAAAGTTCACAAAGACAAGGGAAGAAGGAACCAAGGAACAAACTAAGGACAGACAAAAGGAAAGAAGCAAGAGTATGAGGAAAGACTACAGATAAAGGGATAAAGAAGAAAAAAAAGAAAATGATGGAAGGAAGGACATTTCTTTTTGATTTTGATGAAGTTCTCATCGTCAGGAGAGTTTCAATCTCCTAACAGAAAAGTCCCTGAATGTGTTTCTGTCTGACCTCTAACAGAAAACTTCAGCCTCATTTAACCTTCAGGTTCTGACCTCTTGTACTCCTGTCTGCTGGTCTTGGTGCAGTTCACTCGCTCCACGTATCCCGTCTGACTGCAAACCGTCTGCGTCTTCTGAAACACACACGTTTGAAGACATCGTCAGCCAATCGAGACCCAGCTCTTCATCATCTTCCTGATTGAATCGCACATATAAAACTGATTCTTCAAGTTCTGAAGGTAAACTAAAACTCAGACTGAAAATACATCAATTATTACATCACAATCCGATTAATGTAAAACAGAAAATATATAATTACTCCCACTGCTCCAAAAAATAAAACTTAAAAATCTAAATCATTCAATCATTATTTTAAAGACTCATAAAATTTAATTAAAGACACTTCTGAACGAGCAATTGCATGATTAATAAACATAAGTTCTTATCATAGTAAGATATTTTTTCTTAAATATATAAATGATAACCAGTACAATAATGCCCTGTAATGTTCAGCTAAATAGAGCATAACAAGCTGAGTTGACGTACAGCGTTGAAGTCGCTGCAGCGGTTGCATTCCTCCAGCACCACAAAGTTCTCCAGCAACCAGCAGGGGGCGACAACAGGCTTCACTGCTGATGCAGAAGAAGAAAAGGTCAGGAAAAAACAAACGTGAAACGTGAAGGTTTGGGCTTAGCTTTCAGATTAGTCCTGCTGTTTGCCAAAAAGATCTATACAGACACTAAAATCATCTTAAAAAGAGTAGGAATATCTTTTTTAATTCCAGAAAAATAAAAAATAGATAAATTAAGTGTTTAGAGGTAAATTAGAGGCAACTCTGATTGCTTTAGAATGAGTTAAAGAGGTTAGAGATGAAAGTTTAAATTGTGTACAAGTCATTAAAATTTCAGGATTAAAAATGGTGGCAGAGGTCAAAATTATTGATTTTGTGGAAAGTGCTGCAAAAAGAGAATTTAAATGCTCAAATAAGTAAAAATGGGGTTAAGAATATAGTAAAATTCTACATTAAGAAGAAATGGAAGACGAGACGATGCTAGATTTTATCATAGTATCCAAAAAAAAACGTTGGGAAATTTATCAAATGTATTGCAATAAAGAAAGAAGATGATATATTTAGGATGAGATTTGGTCACACAGAATTAAAAAGCATTCTTTAAAATAATCAGACTGGTTGCTGGGTTCACTGTGAACAAATGGAAGCACTATAAAAAAATTTTTTGGACTATAGTAAATATCCACACAAAAGAGAAATTTAAATAAAAATATAAGAAGTTTTAGGTAAAAGAATTGCTTCAAATATCACCTGAGGATTTAGTTTTTTAAAAGGAACAGGTATTTTGAAATAAATACAGTTCTATTAGTGATGCCAGGCGACATAAAAAGTAAAAGAAGGATGTTTGAAGCAGCCGAGGTGTACCTGTCGTCTTCTCCTCGCTCAGCAGCGCCGCTCCAAACACTCTGGAATGAAAAAGCATCAAAACGGCCTTTTACCCCCAGAAACGCTGATCTATAAAAACACTCTTAGACTCTGAGGCTCTGATGGAGGCCTGCGGGTCCAAACCCACCTGAGCGAGACGAGACCCCAGAACAGAGCGTGGAGCAGGAGGACCCGAGGCCGACAGCAGGCGACTGGGATCCGGCAGTCGCTCTCCATCAGCCTGCCTCTCCAGCTGGAAGGTGACAGCACCGCCACCCTGTCTGCTGCTGCTGGTTACTCACCAGCAACCCACTGGTTCTGGAGCTGGTGCAGGTTAACGCTTGGAATGGTTTGCTGCCTGGTTTGTTTACATGGTGCTCAGATTGAACTGGGTGACTTAAGGCAAAAGGCTGCAGAGACCTGGAAGAGAAAACATCAAAAATCAGTCTGGATTTTTTCCCTGTTATGATCCGACTTAGGAAAAAATACATCAACATCTACTCATTGTTTACACCAAGAAATTATTTTTAAAATCTTTTTTGAAACTATTTTAAGATCCCCGTTTGGCCTCATGCTGATTTTTGATTATTTTGTATTTGCGATCCTCTCGCTACAGTTGTATATATTAGAGCTGCAACTAACGATTATATTAGTGAAATACTTTCAAATATGCAAATAAACAAATAATTGAATGAGAAAATACAAATTTTATTACCAAAAATGCAATACCATTGCCTTTCTTTAATGTGCGCTTGATCATTTGTAGATCAATTGACTAATCTACAAATTAGATTTGGATCCATCATCATATACTACAAGCAGTTTCCTTGTGAACTTTGGTGCTTTTTTGTTTGTTTGAACAGCACAAGCAACATTATTGCTTAGTTTGACATTTTAGACTCAGCAGTGAAATGGTTCTTTTCACCGTTCTACCACAAGTTTATTCAGACAAACTCAATAAAATAAAACTCAAAGTGTGATGTGATAAATCACAAATAAACTATGGAAATTTAATATTAATCAAAGACAATGAATTTAATAAACATATTGCGCTTAGAGGAAAAAAGTGGAGGAAAACTATTTATTATACACATGCAGTTAAAAATTGTGAACACAAATACATTTCTAGAACATTTAGAAACTTTTGTATGTTTAGGAAAGAAAAACATCAATATACAAAATATATAGAGAGATATAAATATAAAAAAAGAAGTTAATGAAGTGTGTAAATGTGTCTTATATATATATATACAAAAAGACACCCTTAGGATAAATGTATACAAACTTACTGATAAAAAAAAACATTAAAATATTTTAGATTGTTATGCTAGGTTTAAATAGTTTCTCTCTCAAAGAAAAAAAAACAGTTGGAAAACAACTCAGAGCTAAATTATCAACTTCGTGTCATAAAGATCTACAAGGTACAATAAATGCAGTAAAAATAAGTTAAAAAACGAGACAAAGTTCAAATAAATCTGCCACTTGCGAAAATGGCTAAATAGTAATTGTATAATTTTGGACGCACAACACAAAGAAAACAAACAATTCAAGACTTTCCTCAGGGCTGTGTTCCACAGCAAAGACAGAAAAAACTCCCAACTAGTAATATTGTTTATTTTTTGTCCTTATTAAGGATTTCTCTCCTTATTTTCCGCCTCTTGGAAACATCTGGACCCAAATGTTTAACCAGATTGGGATTATTTGACCAACAGATGGTTTATAATCAACTGGCTGTAAACACAGCTGATCAATAACCACTCAAAAACGATCAATCGGTTAATAAAATAACAATTTATCAATCTGAACTCTGGTTATTTACGCATTTTAGAAATAACTCGAGTGTTAGGATGAGGCAGCAGTGATTTACAGTCCTCCTATTCTGAGTGTTTACCTAAAGAAGAGAAGCTAACGTTAGCAGCCGTTAGCTTAGCTCCGAGCACTCACTGTGATCCGCTGAAACAGCCGCCATTTTCAGATCCAACCCTGCAGCTGAGAGGAAGAGCAGCTTTTTTTACAGCGACGGTTAAAACACAGTAGTCTTTGAAAATGACCGGAGATCAGACAGGGAGACTACTGAAGTTCAAAAACTGTTACCGGATTATCTGACGGGCGGCCTCTGCTCACTACGACATCATTAAAGCCTAGAAACCTTCCGGTAAGGACACTTCAAAATAAAAGCATCTCCACTACGTCAGGCGGATACAGAAGAAGACAGATTCTCGTTATTTTTAAGTGTATTTATTTAACATTGCTTGCAAACAAAATAAAATCAGTATGAGAAAAATAACAGGTAGACAGTCCACTATGATCCAAATTACAGCAGCATCACTTGAGTTTAAAATTATTCAGCCCTTCAGAAATAGATAAATAATAGTGTGAAATGTAACCTCAACTCAAACTCTTTCAGCAGGAATGGTTAAATTAATAGCATTTAAAATACTGCAATCAAAAATATTTATTTTATTATTTTTGCATTTAAATTAAACAACTTCTTAAATTACTTTTTCACAAAATGGTTCAAAACGGACAAGTTATTGACTATCTTACCTTTACAAAACATTTTATCTATAACAGTAGCAAATCCCCAGTCCAGTGTCCAAACATACTTTATTGCTATTATTAGTGATTGTAAATTATTTGGTGTAAATAATTTTTATTCTCACTCAAAGCCAGGAGAGAGTACTGAGGAATAATGTAAGTTTGACTGTAACATTAACATTTATTGTGATGGGGAGACAAAGTCACTTCCGTTTGTTTCCTTAGCTGAGTTGGAAACGTAAATGTTGGCGGAAGTCAGTCAGATGATCCACACCGCCGCCTAGAGGCCATGACTGAAAATTGCATTACACTTTATTATGTCAAAATCAGAATCATGACTAAGTGTTTTGCACTAGTACAGATAATTTTTTAATATTAATACAAAAAATGACCCTCATAATCTCTGCAAAAGAACAAACAACATTTATGTTTTAATTTTTAAATATAGAGTTTCCATGAATGTAAATCCTTCATTTTGTAGTTTTTTTTGTTGTTTTTGTTCAGATACTGTGAAGGAAGAAATGTGAACACCTGGAGCCTTGAGGGCAGCGACACACCTGGCCAGGTGGAGTCTTCTGTCTCCTCCACCAGCTGCGGCCCCAGCAGAACTTTTCCAGGTTACACTGAGAGAAGAAGAAAAAAGGCTCAGATAAACACAGACAGGTTTCGTTTTAGTTTAGTTTTGCACTCCCGCACCTTTCACTTTGGGAATTCTCTGGGTTTGATTAACTTTTAGCTAAATTTAAAAGAAGAAAAGTGCAGATTCTGTTACACATAATCATAAAGTAAAAAACTGGTAAAAATAAATTACATCATTACGAAATATCAAACATGGGTAGCAGAAACACACATTGACAAATCTCAGTTTTCCACAAACTAAATTGTTTGAAACTAGTATTAGTTTCAAACTAATATAACATAATACAATACAGTTCAACGTACTATGATTTATTCAATTTTTACTGCAAAAACACAAAATCTTACCAACTATTTTTGGTCTAGTTTCTAGTCCATATGTCTTGATGCACTTTATATAAGACAAAACAAATTTATAAGTAACTTTTCAGAAAAATATGAGTTTTTTAAAGTAAATAATTCCTTAATATTGATTTTTAAAAGTTCTTGTTCCACTGGCAGATTATTTCACTTATAATAAGACGTTTTCCAGTCATAAGCGAAATAGTCTGCCAGAGGATTGAATACTTTTTCATCTATATTAGGGAATTATTTGTCGTATTAAATTTGCACCCAAAAAACTGTTATGATTTTGTTCAGTTGATCTTTAAAAGACACAACAGGCGCAGCAGGAAACTGCATTAGAACAATGAAGTTTATGTAGAAAGCAGAAGTCACAATAAAAATGTCTCTGTCTGTCATTCTTTGTTTTTCTTTCCTGTGTGAGAGTTGCCATACCAACAGTCAATAATTTTGCTCCTTTCTAAACTGAGATTTGCTTTTTTTAAATCAAATCGTGCAGGTTTTAACTAATCTAAGCCAAAACATTTATCCTTCATCTGAACCTGCTTGTTCTTGCTCTGCTGATCTCCAGCGGTCACTATATTTAATTCCTTTTCCATGTGTTTTGTGAAAAGCTCTGAGAACAATCATCTCATCTTGACTGTTAAAAAAAAAGGAGATGATTGAAGATTCCAGGAGCAACAGAGTTGGATCAAACCCTGTTTCCATTATGGGAGGAGAAGTGGAGGTGGTTGAGGAATATAAATACCTCTGCGTTCGTTTGAACATCAGACTGGAAGATAAGATCCTTCAAGGTTAGCAGCAAAAGGCTGCAGATCTTTTATAAACCGGTTTTTGAGAGCGTCATCTCTTCTGCTGTCCTCTGGTGGGGACGCAGATCAGACCTAAAATGGCTCAGCAGCCTGATAACGAAGGCTGGTCCAGTTCTGAGGAATCTCTGGAGATGACAATGCAAAGAAGGATTCTTCATAAAACCTAGAAGGTTAAGGGCAACTCTGACCATCCTCTTTATGAGACAGTTTTGGAAAAACAGCGTCTTCAGTCAGAGGCTCGCCACTGGAGATCCTTCCTGTCGACATCCATCCCTATTTGCAATAACTCTGAAGAATTTGAATTAAAATGAGTTATAACAACATTCAATTCCCCTTTGGGATTAATAAAGCACTTTTCAATTTGAATTAGAATTTTATCACCTTCCTAAAATAATGTCCTAAGTCAGTAAAAAATGACTTTGGCCATTATTTTAGGAAGTTGATTATATTTTTATCTGTAGGCAGGAACCCTGATGTTAGGACAGATTTTGTGTCTCTGTTGACGCTGTGTTGTGTCAGATATTTACCACTATCGTGACTCTGCGTCGCTTCAGACGTCGACAGATTCCAGGAAGTCGCATGAAGCTGTTTTTCCTCAGAGACGTGACAGAGTTTGACTCCCAGTTTGCAGAAACTTTCTCCTAAAAGCAACCAGAGAGATAAATGACCCTCCAAAGGATGTGGAGCAACTTTAAACACAGCTGGGCTCCAAGCTCTTGTGTTTCAGTTTTTTGTCTAGTTGTTTTTGTTTCAGTCACCTGTCCTACCTGCAGCGTTGCTGTGGCAGGAGTGAAGAGCGGCAGACTGCAGTCGGCCCTCTGCAGAGGGCAGATCAGCAGCAGAAACACAGCGCAGGCATTCGGCTTCATCTGTCGATCATCTACCGGTCAAACCAATGAATCAATAAATCCTCTGAGCGTCCAGATCCTCCCGCTGCTTCCCCGTCCAAAAGCAAACAGGCTGAATGACAAATATGACAGAAGGGAAAGCAGAATAATCCTCTTAGTCTGGTTTATGAGTCATGTGACCACATGATGACATCACTCTGAGCCCAAAAACTACTGACAGATCATCGACACCCACAGCGAACATGTGGCAGAAGGAGCTCAGGTCAAAGGTCACGCCTGGCCTGCCTTCCTCTGGAAACATAGTCACAGATGTGAATTAGGTGGTGGCGGAATCATGCTGTGGGGATGCTAACGAGACGAACAGGGGAGAAAAATATGGGAAAATCCTGGAAGAAAACTTGCTGAAGGTTAGAGCTGCAACTAACGATTATTTTAGTAATCAACTACTCTGATGATTAATCGATTAATCAATTAATCAGATAAGAAAAATGGCACATTCTGCAGATTTTTAATCTGTTGCATTTAATCATTTAAGCTGTTTTGTACAATATTACAAATACATAAAAAGATGAAAATGAACAGTTTTTAAGTAACTAAAATATAAATTTTATTTCCTTAAATTTAAATAACATAGCATTCCTATAGTGTATGGTTGGTCATTTATTGATGAATTTTTATATCACTGATTAATAATTAGCAAAAAGATGCTCAACGGAAATTTAGTTTCTTGCAGAATTTAAACCCTGTAAAGTTAAAACTAAATCACTGGAGACATTCTGGGTAAAACATTTATAGACAAAGAAGTTTAGTTTTGTTTAGTTTTTTTTATTATCTTAAATGCAAATCTACACATTTCAGTACAATTTTGGCTTTATTTCTGCTCTGAATATCTTATTCTTCAAGTAAATTTTAAATCCTTTTACACTCGTTAATGATTAATTAATTAGTAAATTTTTTGATGATTACAGTACAGTAATCAATTAATCACGATTAACTGTTTATTAAAAGATATGAGAACATTTGGTTAAAAATCTTAGCTTCTTTGAAATGCAAACAGCATTTCGCTCTCTACTCTGTTTTTAACATGTCCTTGATTAAAAAATTTGAATTAAATTGAAATATCAGAGCTTACTTTTTGTCGTAATATTAAATAACTTTAATGTTAACAAAGGTAAAGTTTAAAGAGATTCAGTGAGCCATGGTGTGATTTCATTACATTTAAAATTCAAAAGACCTAATTTACTGGAGCTCCAAAGTTTTTTTCTCTTCTTATTAGAATCAATATCAATTAATTAAAAAAAGATGACTTAATAGGGAATTAAACTGAACATAAAGGAATCCATGCGCTAGCTTAATATGCACATTGCTGCTGTTTATAATCAATATTACCAATATTATTGTTTTTAGTGGCGTTGTTATTGGTTTTAGCCAGCAGAGGGCGCAATTATCTACGTATTTTTACTAGGGACATAGATTTTTTTATTTATTATTTATCATTTCAGGGGTGTTAAATGTTGATTTTAATGAACTAGATCAATATTATATTATATTATACTATATTATTATATTATATTAGCCTATATTAGTTTGGGGGGAAAATGCTGCTTCAGTTCAATGGCGTTATAGACTATTACTATTATCATTATCATAGTTATTACTCTTATTATTATTATCAATATCATTATTGTTCACACAGGGGTGCAGTTTTCTTTAGAACAATTCCCAAATTTTAATGTATTACAGACTTATATTTCACAGTTGTCTTACGTTTTCGGGAATTATGTTATATTATATTATATTATATTATATTATATTATATTATATTATATTATATTATATTATATTATCAGGAACTGAATATTTTGTCCTTTATTTTCCCCCTCTTATTTTCGACATTAAAAATAGAGAGTTTTATTTATTTATTAGGTTACCTGATGTAAACATAATCGTTGCTATTCTTATCACCTCTTTGTGGATCCAGGAATAGTGCGAAAAGCTCCCAGGCCGAGTGTGCTGGAGCCATTTATAGCTAATTGATTGATTGACTGCTGCGAGAGCTCGGTTGTATTTCTATCTTTGGCTGCAGGTCTATGTTTAGCGGCCTCCTCCTCCTCCTCCTCCTGCTCCACCACCACCGCCCACCCGTCCCACGACCAGCTGATCTTTGTTGCACGTAAGCGCCGTCCCGTCGTGGCCCCGCCCCGCTTCCTATGGAGGATTTATTTATTTTCTCCTCCGTCTCCTCCTCCTCCTCCTCTGGCGCCGCTGCGTCCATTATCACCGAGAAGAAACGGAGAATGAACAGCGAGAAAACGCGACCACTGCAGGCCGAGCGGACCGCCTCGGAGGACTGAAGGATGAGCGCCGACCGCGGGACGCAGAGCCGACCGGAGCCGCCGCCACTGAGCCCCGGAGGAGGCAACATGAGCTCGGACTAAGCAGACGAGAGGACTCCGCTGCGTCCGGTGAGGGACGGTTGGATGGATGGACGGATAGATGGACGGATGGATGGATAAACAGGTGGTCTGATGGCGGATGATGATGATGATGGCACAGCGCCGCACGGAAACGCACCTGGAAGAAATAAAATGAGGGCTCTGCGGCTTTGCAGGCTGCATCATCATCAACATCATCATCGTCATCATGATTTATTGACGGTATTGACGGCTCTCGGCCGCGATGAAACACCCCGACGCCGACTGGACTGACCCCGTCCTCCTTGTCTTGCAGCGGCTCTCGGTCGGGATGTCTGGAGCGGCCGGACCTGCACCGCCCACCGGGGCCGGACCGGAGCTGCCGGACCTGAGCCATCTGACCGAGGAGGAGCGGAGGATCATCCTCTCCGTGATGGAGCGACAGAAGAAAGAGGAGGAGAAGGAGCAGAGCATGCTGAAGTGAGTGGTTTTGTGTTTTACATTAATCGGCAGTTATCAATATTTCTCTGGCACCATCTGCTGCAGAAGACACGATGTTCAAAAATAAAAGGCTGCCATGTGCAGTAAAGATGAAGGTTACACCTCAGATATTTACTCACTGTCTCAATAAATAAACGGTAAAGCTGAGCAAGGAACCAATCGCTGCAAATAAAGGCTCATAACGAGGCATAAAATAAAGTTTATTGGAATCAAATTGGTAATTAGATGAAACCCAGAGGAAGCCTGACCTGCAAAAACGTTTTGATAGATAGATAGATAGATAGATTAGATAGATAGATAGATAGATAGATAGATAGATAGATAGATAGATAGATAGATAGATAGATAGATAGATAGATAGATAGATAGATAGATAGATAAGGAACACTTGTACTTCCAGGTTTTGTACATTAAGAGCTACTTACTAAAATAAATATTTCTGCCACAGTTTTTAGAAAACTAACATCGTACATATGGCATTGGCTTCAAAGGAGTTTTCATCCCTATGAATTCACAACTGAGCGTCGTTTTAAACATGCCAAACCCATAGGGGGCAGTGTAGCGCTAAGATACAGCCTGTCACCCAATCAGAATCCTTAAAACAGCAACATGACTTTCTGTAAGGACTAAACATGTCTGGACAACGTTTTCAAAAACTCTATTTTGATCTGACCTTTTGTAAATAATTATTTTTACTGAGTTTTTGAGTGGATAACAGGCTGAAACATACAAATGTATTAGTTTCCCCAGATATTAATATGTCTGGACTAGGCCAATGTCAGTGAGAAAAGAAAATCAGCAAGAAGCTTTACCTATCAATTCCCAAAAGTTTCCCTAAGCTCAGCATTATCTCTAAAAATATATTAATTACAGCAAAAAATGGGAGAAAATGTAACAGTTGCTATGTCAGGCCTCTAAGTGGTGAAGTAATGGAGTCAAGCATGAAATATAAACAAACAATTGTAATGAATACGCCTAAACTCTGCTGTTATACCTAGATAGAGTGATGGTCATCTAAAAAGACCAACCTGCTCGTTGTTTAGCACTGAAAACCACAGAGATGCTCTGACGCTACAGATCGGATTGCTCTTTGCCAGCCACACGGAGAGGACATTAGTGCCATAACCAAATGTGTTATTCAATGTCCCTTTGGGATCAATAAAGCTTTTGTGAATTGAATTAAAACAAAACCTTGTACCAGTTAAACCTTGCTGAAGTGGAGCTTCCAGCATGTGGAGCAGGCGTTTTACAAACTCTGTTTTAAAGTATCTGAATAATTGTAGGTCAAACGAGTCTAAATATTGATACGTCCAAAGTTGCCATGAAGACAAAACTAAAGAAGAAAAAAGTCCAGACCATGATCTTCCTTTTACTATAACTTTCAAATAATCTCAAATCAAATACCAGCTCTTCAGTTATTAGCTAGCAATTGTACCTTTTTACAAGGGTTAATTTCGCCCCCTGGTGCAGTGTTGCCCTGGGCAAAGAGCCATTTGGCCTTTTTGTTATTGCGCTACCACAGAAGAATTGGTTTTGAGTGCAGGTGAAAATGAGAAAAGACGATGCTCATCAGTCTGGAATCCGAAGGATTTCCACCAGACAACTTGCTCAGCCTGGTGGTTGTTTTTGAGTTAAAACTTTTTCAAAGCTTACTGAAAATTTGAAAATATCACTTGATAGTTATGTGTTATTGAAAGATTGGAAAATTCACACCTGCACACCAACTATAAAGTCTTAAAGAAATGCAAAGATTTTAGAAAGTTACATAAATAAGCAATCCCTAGCCTGGTGGGGGCACAAGTAAAGCCTGGTGGCCCGCCAGGCTCATGATGCACTGGGGGAAACCCTGCTAGTAATAATTAAGAATAGTAAAAACTGTCACTTGTGCATATTTATAAAAGAAAATTTGATTCAGAAGAAACTACTTCAGATCAGATCAGAATGGAGACCCTGACATGTGATCTTTACCCAGAATGCACTGCTCAAGGATCGTTTTGAACCTAAAACCTGGGGGGTTTGCAAGCTGCACGCTTGTCACCCGCAGTCCTTCTGTTTCTGTTGGTTTTAATTGGACTCCAGACTAAATCCCGTTATCTCATTAGTGGGAGTGTTGGTGGATCGGTGGCTGCGGTTTAACACGAGTCAAAGTATCTTGAACTTTGGAGATCTTTGAAAAATGTAAAGACTTTGTGAA